CAAGCTCCCAAAATACCGTGGGCCGAGCCGGCTGTGCCGCTGGGGAAAGCGATCCTGGCTCCAGGAGCATGGCAGCGCTGGCTGAAAGCTGAGCTGGGCTGCAGACAGATGCACAGCCTCTCCTTTCCCTTTGAGCTTTCAGACACAGGCACTGCCCCTGTCTGTTGGTTCTCTCATTCCAAGGAAATGCCATATTGCCCTTTTTCCACTTTCCACTGTCTCTGCTTCCTCCCTCCTCAAACATCACCACTTCTCCCAACACCCCTGTTCACAGTGGGGCAGCCACAGCTCCTGGCATCACCATTTACCCATGGACTTGCTCATAAATGCGGGAAAAACCTTTATTTATTTCAGTCAAAGGGAAGCAGCTTTGGGCCTGAACTTTAAATGGCTTCACTACCTCGTGTCAGAGGCATTTGAAAAGATGAATCCTCTGCCTCCCTCCAGACGTGCCAATTCATCGTGAGCCTGGGAGAGGTGGGTAGAGACAGGCAGCCAGTCCTCATCTTTGGAGACAGTCTGGAGGCTGAGGAGCTGGGAGGTGAAGTTGAAAGAAGTATTTGAAGAAGGAATGCTGTCTGTGTGTGACTGGGGGATGGCTGGGGCTGCCGGGGTGGGAGAGGCTGCTCAGCTGCTGCCCCGCGTCCGGCGCCGCTCGTCCCGCTGGCTCTGTGGTGCTGGTCAGAGCAGGGCTGTGCGGAGCTGCAGCACGTGGGGCCAGGCTGCCTTCAGGCAACGTGGGAAAGATCAGGGAGAGGAGGAGGCTCGAAGCGAGTTCATAAGAAAGCTCAAAAGCTGGAGGAAAGCTCAGGCTCAGGGAGGTACTTCAGAACACACTGGGATGTTTTCCTCCAGGGTGGTTTGCAGCGGCCCCTGGCCACCACGCCAGGCTCCAACTGGGCACTGAGACCACAGTGGGTCTCATATGGGGCAGGTTTAAGCTGGAAATGAGAAGGTTTTTCTTAATTTCCAACCAACTAACTGAAAATATTATGAAGATAGCTGATCTTGGAGATTTTGTGGTATCTGGGACCACAAGAATAATTTTATCTCCTCTGAAATACTGGTGCCCAGTAACATGGCCAGCTGCAATCAAACAGTGAAAAACGTGAAAAAAATAACCTGAAATCTCAGCTCTGAGAATTTAGAAACTAAAAATCTATATACCTTTCTCCACACGAAACCAAATACATTTAAAATGGTTTATTTAAAAAGTAAGGATTAAGTACATTATACATGGTTGTGATTATACCAGTAGAACTGAAGCACAGTGGAAATAACACTTTAGAACTGCAGACAGAAATGTAGCCTCAAGGGACATGATATATTAGCCCTTGTGGATATGTGATCCATACAGAGAGAAAAAGAAACAGAAAAATAGTTTATTGTTAGATGTTTGGGCAGCTGAAGTGATTTCTCCTTTTACTCCTATTGTGTATGAGAAACAAGGAAGAGAGAGCTCATGGTATACCTGAAATTTTGTTTCTTGGAAAATCAAATCTGATCCAATAGCATTTATTTTTTTTTTTTTTTTAGTTCTGGTGCTACAGTACGTTATATACCAAAAGCCTGATTATTGTTAATGATATGGTTTTATGGTATCTGCAGGCCTTGCTGGGAAATGGGGCTCATTTGTTAGATGCTGACCAGGGAAACCAGAGAGATGTGGAAGAACAGATGATTTTTCTAAACTATCAATGAGTGGTTTCAAAGGCTGAGCACAATCTAACTCTGTTCAGATAGATCAACCATGGAGCAAGACTGCTCATGGGCAGGAACGCTGAAAATTTTTCAGTTTTGTCAGAATCAAAGTTTTTCATGGGAAAGGACTGGGGCCTTGAGTTTTTTCTGGTTTTGTTGGGTTTTGTTTGTTTATTTTCTGGAATTGTCAAATGAATTGTTTTGGTTTTGGCTTTGGTTGAACAATTTGCTGCACTGCAAATGAGTTAACACATGAGTTTTCAGTTGCAGCCCTTCTTGTCTCACAGGACAAAAACTCTGGTCCCTGTTATGTCCGCATGACTTTGTTCCCTATCCAGACCCCATGATCATCTCATCATCCCTGCTCCAGCTCCATTTCTTGAAGGTGCCTGCTGGAGAAGGAGCAGATGCTCCAGCTTGGACCAAAACAGGGCATCACTCCTGGAGAGCTGCTGGACCCAGCCCTGCCCTGGGGGAGGAGGCTCTGGCAAAGAGCAACATCTCAAAACGCTCAGCAAGAATTTCTTTTACTGCCAAGAACACTGCATGTGCCTCTGCAGGTCTGAGCTGGGCTGAAGAAAAACCTTGGACTTTGTCTGGAATCAGATGGGTGGTTTGAAGCACATTCACTGGAGAACGACGACTAAAAGAACAAAACCCACGCGCGAGCAAACCTCACACTGTCCACTTCCAGTTCAAGGTACATGAGTTTAGAGAAACAGCCTATATCTAACTCCTGGTTTGAAAGGGAATGGTTTTATTCTTAATTACAGTAAACACGGATGAGGACTTAGTTCTAACTATTAGTTTTTTAACACAGTGGGAAACAAATAGTTCTGGGAAATTGCACTTGAAAAATACATTGACTATAATTAGATGTAAATTAATTAGCACTTAGTATGACACACTAATGAGACAGAAGGTTGGTTTTTTTCATTGCAAACTTCTACTTCTATCATAGCTAATCAAAGTATTTTAATATTACGAAGTCTCAAAAAGTAGGAAATAATTTATTGTTTGAAAGCATAAAGATTCTTGTAAAAAAAACCTTTCATCAAGAACTTTAATAATTTTAGAACCCTTTTATGTTGTCCTAGCCGAAAAGTAGGTAAAAAAGTTTTCTTTTCTGCCTCTGTTTGAATTTTTTTTAAAAAGCTTGTGTAACATCTTTCTCCATAGTGTGTTGATACAGAAAGTAGCACAACATTTTCTAGTTTTAAATCATTCCCATTGCTCCATTCGCTTTAGCTCTCAGAGTTCAGAGGTTTGAAAAAAGGATCCCAGCGGAGTTTTAACCTGAATGGAAACTCTTAATGAGCAGGGATGAAGGCTCCAACCCACCCCTGCCAAAATAACGATGTGGCTGTGCCAGGCTGAGGGCCAGGCAGAGCTTAACAGTGACTAGGGGAAGACTCTCGCTTAAAATTGAGAATTGTGTCTTGGTTCTTGCAAGGAGAGAGGCTTGAGTGGGTTTCTCTGGAGAGACAGGGGTTCAACTTCCTTTTTGGGATGTTAAGGCAGCTTCTCCGGGATTTCCCTGGAGAACTTGGTTCCACTAGCTGAAAGCCTCGTATCCAAACCACCACCGAGTCTCTAGCCCTGGGGCCATCACAGGATAAATTAAGACTAAAGAGGTTTTAACAGTTTGGCTGAGATCTCTTTTTACCAGTGACCCAAACTTTCCAAATTATGGATTTTTTCTTGTCACCACTTGTCTAGTGTTCTGCTAGCAAAGATTTTCTGGGCAAAGATGATGGGGATATTCAAAGGAATCTACAGGAATTAGATGCTCCTCTCTCACTGCATCTAATTCATCTGAGGGGAATCGGGCACCTCATTCTCATATGGCTTGGTCGAGTGGTCACTAAAATCAGCATGAGTACTATTAAATTAAATTACCTTTGAGTCAGGCCATTGAGCTTTGAGATCCAAGCCTAGTATAAAAACTGAAAGCAGGAATTTATAAGAAAAGAAAATAATATTTCAGACTCTTTTAGAAACATACAGAAGCAAAGGGTACAAATTAGTTCCCTCCTTACGTGATGCATAGAGTTTGCTGTGGGCTCTCTGCACGTAAGTAGATGCATCATTACAAAATAAATTAAATTAGGTCGAACCACCATTTCCATCTAAAAGCAACTATACCTTGCACCATGCGGCACTTAATTCATAATAAAAAGAGTTTAATAAATATCTCATAAACGGTGATTTTTTTTTTTCCTTTTTTTTTTCCTTTTTTTTTTTTTCTTTTTTCTTTTAAAAAATACAAAGTTGTCATCTGCTCTGTTAACACTCGGCTCCCGTTGCCGCGGGAAGTTTCGCGAGTCCGGGCGCGGTCTCTTCTGCTTGCTCGGAGATCTGGGTTTGCAGTAGCGTTAGTGTTGCACTTGTGAAGCGTAAGGACATCGGGAGCGCGGTGGCGGGGCAGCGGCGGCTCAGCCCTGCTCCCCGCCGCGCTCGGGGCAGTCTCCAGGGGCTCCTGACAGCCAGCACTCAGCACCTTGCTGGATCAGGCACTAGGGCTCGTCGAAATGAGAATTCAAGTTTTCTAAACGTTAGGCAAGAAATGATACTTGCAAATAGGCTCAAGTCCCACCTTCTTTAATCTTTTTCCCTTTCTAGGTGTTTCAAGACGCACCCACCCTCTGCTCCTCGGCCTGCGTTGCCCCAAGGGATGCCTTACCCCAGGAATGGGAGACCCCCTTCCCACCCCATCAGAGAGTCTGTAATGCTCAGTACGTGGGTGCTCTACGGTTTCAGTGGCACAGGTCAGTTTTAGAAAGTGTTGCCTTCAAAAATATTTTCTTTTTTTTTTTTCTTTTTTCTTTTTTTTTTTTTTTCTTTTGAAAGAGGCAAAGCTTACGCCGTGTTGAAGGAAAGTGGCTCACTTGATGAGTAGCTCATTTTCATCCTTGGGCTTGGTTATAAATTATATTTGCAAGTTTGTATTAAGGGATCTCAATATTAGAAAAGAAAAAGTACAACAAATTTTCTGTAATCCTTTAAAACACACTGGTGGCCAGTCCTTTGCAGTTTCTCCAAGACTGTGTACACACTACAAAAGTGCAGGAACATGAACTGCCTTCATCTTGTGACACCAAGAACGGAAATAAACAAACTCCAAATAGCTTCAAAAAAAGCTACGAGCGTGTAAATATCTTTATGTTGGTCCAGAGGATCTCCACTTGCTACCTCAACACATGCCACAATTAAAGAGGTGAGAGGGTATTTTAACATCGCTCCTGACAGATCCATTCTGTTTGGGCATCTCTTCAAAAAGCACGAGGAAGGAAGGTGCTTCAAACCGGCGTCGTTCTCCTGTTGACCATGTTGACGTGGAGTCCTTCCTTAAATTCCTTCTGGAGGAAGTTGTGGACCTGCAGGAAACTGGCTTCTTGGTCTGCATTGTAGCTGGCAGCCGTGGTAACCTTCAAAGGCTCCCTGGAAAGGGTGTACATGGAAATTTCGTTCATGGGGATGGTGCCTGCTATCTTCATGCCAACTGGAGAAATGTCCCTGGATGGAGAAGGCTCCGTGGAGCGGGAGCTGGATCTGGACCTCCGCCTCCTGTACCTATAGCTTGGCATCCTGGCATAAGGAGAACTGGAAGAAGTCTTAAGGAATTCCCTCTTGGTCTTAAACCTCAGCTCTTTGTTCTTCTCAATATAAATGTTCACAGCCAGAACACCTATGGTTTCGGCCACAATAAAAGACAAAGCTCCAAAATAAAAAGACCAGCCATAGTTGTAATGGTTCTTTTTGTCCTCGTCTCGCTTGTCACTTGGGTCACCTGCATTGCTCGATATGTAGACAATGATCCCTATGATATTACTTAAACCTGGAGGAAGAAAAACCATAAATCAGTGTTTAGGTGGCTGGGGAGATAAAATTTAAGCCATGTTACTTTCTGGGCTGAGTGGTTCTAAGACTGGGACAAAGAAATTTTATTACATTTATTTACTCTTACATTTCTCTCAAGAATTCATTTATTCTTGAAAAACAGCCAATAGGTCAACATATGGTAACGTGTGCTCACATGGATCCCAAAATATTCAGCAGGACTTTTCCCCATCTCTTCACTGCCACAGTGGAAAAGCAGCAGCTTGTGGGAGCTCACTAATATTGTGAGTGGGATTCTAACATCCAGAAGAATGATAAAAATGCATTTGGAGCTCAGGGCTATGGCTGTTCACCTTGATCAAAATAAGTTCTCTTCCACCTTGCTGAATTTTCATCTAAATGCTGCATGCTTAATCCAGGCTGCAGGGAGAGCTATTAACAATGGGACTCTCTCACATGTTTCTAGTGTGAAAAACGGGCTCACCTATCAGAGGAGAACGTTTTCTGCATTCATATTAAAAAAAAGGCCCCAGGTATAAGAGATGCCTGATTCATCTAATGTTTAATATATTTTAAATGGTGTAAAACATGCTTGTTACTGAATTTCACTTCTTTCTGCAGGAAAACGAAAAGCTTTTCTAGAATATACTTATTGTGGGGCATCAAGAGCATAATTTTGTCTTGAGAAATTTGCCTAGTGTGGTGTTGTTAATGCCCTCAGTCCAGCAAAGGGATGCAGGAAAAGCACTGCCAAGAAGCTTTTCCAGAGTCTTTTCCAGCTGAAAACAGCAGCACTTCTTAAGGACTCAATTTAAACAGAACATACCTGCTGCAACAAAGAGAATCCCAGCGCTGAGAATAATGTTGTTTTTGCTGTTGTAAATCCTTCCTGCTCCGACACAGAGTCCTCCCAGCAACAGCAAAATTGTGCTTAGGATGGGGAACACGCTGGAGGCACGGACGATGCCTGCAGGGAGACAGGCAGGAAGGGAAGACAGAGCAATCATTTTGGGTGCCTCCTCGGGTGCAAGTGTGGAGATTAGAGTCTCAAAAGCCCTGTTTTTTTCCTAAAATTGTTAAGAAGAATGACTTAATAGATCCAGAGGATTGTTAAGATTGAAAAAGACCTTTAAGATCATCAAATCCAACAGTGAAACCAGCACCTCCACCACGCTCACGACTAAACCACATCCTTGAGTGCCAGCCACATCCACACATTTTTTGAACATACTCAGGGACGCCTGTTCCAGTGCTTCATAATCCTTTCAGTGAGAAATTTTACCCAATATCTAACTCATTATCATTTTTTATTCCTTTTTCCTAGAATTATCACTGATTCTGCATTTCTGGGCATGTTTTTGGGATGACGAAGCCATGAGGTGGCCAGTGTGACAAAGACTCTCAACTAGAGTGGCTTCAATCTTTTGAGCTTCCTCCCAGGAAGTCCAGCATTACTGGCATTTTCTGATGCCACCGTGTGCAGAATATTTCTGGCAAAGCATGAGGTAAGTGACAGTAAGACCCAGCACCACGCAGGGAGCAGCAGTGAAAAATTCATGAGCTGGCTATGAACCCTACAACGTTTGGGACAGCTGGAGCAGACGGATCTGTTCCGTGGTGCACACACAAGGTGAGCAAATTACAGCTCTTGAAGTCAGCAGCATCCATCTTGCCAGCATGCACAGCTAATAACCCCTTTTTCTTTTTCTTTTGCTGGATATTAAGGACATTGAAACCTTTCAAATTTCTAAGGAAGGAATTTTAACAAGTGTGTCTTAGATGTTTGTGTTTAGTTTCCTGACAGCAAAGCAGTCATTTAAAATTCTGCATGCTTCAGTCCATTCATCAGCGTATAAAATCCCCCACAAAAATATTAAAACACCACTTCAAGCCAGCTTTCAAAGTCGGGTCACAACAAGACAGAGCAGCAATCGACAGGGAAGCGGCAGGGAGGGAACAAAAGGGCTGAGAAAAAATAAACAAGCATGAGAAGCGAGATGCCTGTATTGTAAAAACCAAAGGGGTAAAAGCTGCCAGGGGTTTCTGAAAGGCAGAGTGAGGAACCGAGTTTTATTGCTGTAGAGAGAGGATTTATTTTTTGAAGAAGGGGAGATAAGGTGCTGAATACCGCTGTGGAAAATGGGATCACCCTGAAGCTGGGGAAAGGCGAGGGCACGGAGGGGAGCCCCGGCAGAGCGGGGGGCGCCGGGCTGGGGGATCCCAAGGCGAGTGAGAGTCCGAGGCTGCTGTCACAGCGGCACGGAAACCCCCCAGCAGCCTGGGAGGCCGGGGTGCCCCAGGGCTGGGTGAGCGGAGAGGAGCAAGCGCCGTGCGGGCGCTGCGCTGCCGGGAGCGCCGCGGTCTCTCCGGGCGCATCCTCCTGCCAGACGCGCACGGCGAGCGGCGCCGGTTCCCGGCACAGACGGGCAGATGTTCCAGCTGCTGCTTTCTCATTTCGCTGTCGATGGCCCTGGCGTTCCCGACTCAGCGGATCGCTTCCTAACGATTCCCCTGGGATCTGGTGGCAGAGCTCCCAGTGGCCGGGGGAGGGACGGGGCTGGGGGCTCCGCACCGGCCCCGCTCCGCCCGGGCCTGGCAGGGACGGTCCGGACACAAACCCAAAAAGACAGCGCCTGCCTGGGAAGATTCTGCCTGTATCGATCGGCAAGAGCGAGAAAAGTCCATCCTTTCCCAAACCGGCAGCGTCGCTGCACGTGTCCTTCACAGCTGGGGCATTTTCCAGCCGGATCTGAAGCCGGGCCAGGCGGGTGCATTGCTATTCAGACAGCGTCTCGCAGGAACTGCCAAAGCCAACTGATGCGAGTGGGTGTAAGGGCTCTGGTCAGAGCCTGTTGAGAGGTGAGAGCTGTTCCCTTGGCCTGCTTGTATCCCCACGTGTGTGCTATGAATTAACAGCACTTTGGCTTTGGCTCATTTTTTTCAGTCAATTGTTAGAAATCTGTTAGAAATTGTTAGATTCACAATCAGTCTCTGCTGCTGGACTTTAAGGCACCCCAAATCTCTCTGTCTGTTTTTGTGCCCTGGATAAAGGCTTAAAATCTCCTCTGGCCCACACTTTTCTGGATATTGCTTCCTGCACTTTATGGTCATGCTGTTTATAATGATTTCAGTTAAATCAAAGAGCTTTCCCAAAATGCTTCAGTGATATCATTGGAAGGAACTTGTCAGATGTATCAAAAATAAGGGGTGGGTTGTTCTATTTGTACTTATAAATTTCAGAGATAATTTTTCTGTAGTAGGTAATTAATGAAGAGAAACAAAACACACAGTGTTCTCTTCCTGAAAAATTCCACAATATATATATTTTTTACAATGTGTACTTTTAGCTCTGAAATTTCAAAGGTACCACGTAGAATTTACATATGTCTCCTGATACTGGTAATAAAGTGACAGCACATCAAAAAACATTAAGGCAATCTGGTTTTTGCTTTCTCCCTGGCTTTTCTCCCCCCCTTGTTTACCGTCCTGTCGGTTTGCATCGCCTGCCTTGCGCCGCTATGTGTGGTGACACCTCCTTCGGCGGAGCCGCTCCTCCCCATGGGGCTGCAAACCCTGCTCGGCTCGGGCTTTTAATCTCCAGAAAGGCAGGAGCCGAGGGAACGGCTTTGAAAAGAGGATGCTCTAACAGTGTAGAGATGGCCCTGAAGCGGGGTCCCCCTGCTCAGAGCAGCAGAGCCCCGAGATCCCCAGCGCGCAGCGAGCTGAGAGCCCGCTCGTGCGGAGGGAGAGGCGCCCGCGCTCCTGCGGGGCTGCACGGGAGAGCCCGGCCGGGTGTGCCCGAGGAACGCGGAGAGGAGCGGAGACACACTGGGGAGCGGGAGACAGGGAAGTAGGAGAGAGGGAAGCAGGAGACAGGGAAGCAGGAGAGAGGGAAGGAGGAGAGGAGGGTAGCAGGAGAGAGGGAAGCAGGAGACACGAGGGAAGCAGGAGAGAGGGAAGTAGGAGAGGAGGGAAGTAGGAGACAGGGAAGCAAGAGATCAGGGAAGCAGTTTCAGAGGGAAGCAGGAGACAGGGAAGCAGGAGGGTGGGAAGCAGGAGACAGGGAAGTAGGACATAGGGAAGCAGGAGACAGGGAAGGAGGAGAGAGGGAAGCAGGAGACAGGGAAGTAGGACACAGGGAAGCAGGAGACAGGGAAGCAGGAGACAGGGAACCGTGGCACGTTTGCCGCTGGGGATGCGATGGCAGCCCGGGGTCCGTGCTGGCACTGGGACATCTGCTGCTCGCTGGGGCCCTGCTCAGGCAGAGGGGGATTTTTTAGACACACAGATGGGCGTGTGTTGCCACGGGCAAGGTTCAGTAGGAAGGGTCTTGTCTGAGCTCCTCTGCACGTCTCAGCTTGTCCTGTGCTGTCATTCTCTTGGTTTCGCAGGGAGCAGCTTGAACACCAAAGGGCAAAATCCAGACTCCTGCCTCTACCCATTCCCTGTACCAAACTCTCCCAAAATCAGTCATTTTTGTCACTGATTTCCATGGAGTTTTGAACCAGGGCTCGATCCTAGCACTATAGTATTTGCATTTCTCTGAAGACCAAATTAATCTGGGGGCTGTGGAAGAGGCTGAGACCCCTCACGCTGCTGCTTCAGGAGCACAAAACACATGAGTGTGGGTGCCTTTGTCTAAGCCAGGCAGGAGAAATAAATATTAGTCCCAACATGTCCCTCTGAGAAACTGTGCCAAGAAATGGCCAGAAATAGTGGAGAATGGAGCCAGTAGACTGCAAAAGTGTTGCAGAGGGCAAAAACAGGACGGAAGCTCTCTCGTCCCTGTGAAACAGGACGCAAATATCCTCCTGTCTGAGGCAATAATTTGGTCCCTATTACATACAGGTATGAGCTCATCTCCTCTGGATTTAGACACGTTACCTTTCAGTAATCTCTAAATCAACTCTGTGCATGGGAAACTGCAGTTTTCTTATGAAAGTTAAAGCCAAGGAGCCTTGTCTCCGTGCAGACTCTGTGAGGTGAGCTCTGCTCTGCGGGGGAGACACCGGAGACTGATTTTGCAGAAGACATAAAGGGTTGGACCAACTTGTTTTTAAGATCTGTACTTAGTCACTTCTGCAAACAGCTTTTAGGAACACCCGTCATAAGCACATTTACAAACAATTTACCAGTCTCATAGCTTAACGTGGAGCTGGAGACTGTTTTCCCCAGTTCTCACTTTTCTCCATATAAAGGAGGCATAATGTGCTTTTATCATGATGCTACTTAATTCCTCTTTCCTTTTACTAATGATGTTTGTTTCCTAAAGCTGACTTGGCATCAATTTAACATTAGTTCCAAGGCTTTGTATGAAAGATAAATGCAGCTGTGCTCACACTCTGCCTTTGCCTGAGCTCTGAAATCGTGTCACCCGGCTGCTATGACTGATCTAAATCGACAAGAGCAAAGAGGAAAAAAACATCTGGGTTTTCTGGTGAGGCAAACTTTTCGGAGAATTTTTCCTTCTTCATGTCTTAGCAACTAGAAGTTGTTGCCCAGAAGTGAGCAGAAGGGCAGAGTGGTTCTCTAAGTGGTGGTTGAGGTAATTAATATTGTAATTTAGGAGTTCTCTGCTTTGCCAGCAGTGTTGTTCTCTGCTCCCTGATTTCCCAACACCTTGTGAGCTGCAGTTCCTCTCCCTGGTAAAGGGCACTGCTTTCTGCTTGGCTGCTCAGCTCTGTTGTTCACAAGGAACAACAAGGCAAGGAGTCCTCTGGGAAAGGGGAATCTAACTCCAACTTTGCAGGCTTCATGGTTGGGTGAAGAATCGGGTTCCAAGACTTGCCATCACCTGAGACAATGGTCATGTGGAGGGGATGAAACAACTGCCCTGATTCCAAGCACCAGATTGGTGGGTGGAATGCCTCCTGGGGGGAATTCCATGCCAGTGTGGAGCAGCAGTGGCTGGCTGGCCAGGCATGGAAGCCATGGCCCCTGTTCATGCTGAGATTTTGCTGTTAGCTGCAGAAATTTCAGCTTCCTTCCTACAATGCAGTAATTTCACTGCAGGGGGACGTGGCTCACCATCTGCAAAGGCTGAGGCTTGAGTAAAGGTTAGGTTTAAGCATTTGGTAAAGTTTCCTAATGGGCTGGAACCCACTCCTCAAACCTGTTTTGTTACACTAACCCTATAAATACTCCCTCTGTAAAATATCCTTGTCAATCTGGGCACAATAGCTGTAGTTTTAATTTAAAAATTTGCCATATGATGTTTAGACAATCGACACCAAAATTATGAGCATTCCCCTGGCTGAAGGAAAACCTTGGAAAAAAAATCCTTGAAACCCTATGGCAAGAGGGTTGGAACTTGATGGTCTTTAAGGTCCCTTCCAACACAAACCATCCCATGATTCAAAGACTCTGTGAAGTGGGGGTTCCCAGGGGTGATGGCTGTGCCAGCTGCAGCATGAACTGGACACGTGGCACCACTGGCCAGTCTGGCAGTGAGTAAAACTGGGGTTGCTCTCTGCAGAAGAGAAGCCCAGGGAAGCCCCTGTGGCCACATCTGTGTGCTGGGTATCACTGCTCACTTACGGAGAAGGTACTCTGAGCTGTCATGGTCGTAGTCATTGTCTTCAGGGAAGTGGTTGATCCGGAAACAATGTCCTTTGTAGATTCCTGGATGGAAACAGAGCAAACAGAACCCATAAGGAACAGAACCAGGTAAATGTGCTTTTTTTAACTGGTCAAGAAACCATCTCTAAGGTAATGAAATTTGGGCAGATTGGCTGAAGGAAGGGACAGCCAGGATTCCTGGGCTCTTTCCTTCAGCCACTTATATCGTCCTCTTGAGATTTTTAATCTCTAAGTGCTTCACTTTATCAGCACTGTGCTTATCTTACAAGCATACTGAGTTTGCAAAGCTTCTTTTTGTTCCCAGAGTGGCTGTCAGGCTGGGTCCCTGCTCCGTAGCTGGGGCTCCCAGTGCCAATCTCACTCCCATCACCCTTCCCATCTCACCCCAGTGAAGTGCCAGTAAATGCTGAATTGTCTGAGGCCTCTTCAATTACTCTCTAGGCTGCAAAAACAAGTCCATAAATCTCTTCCTGCTGCAGTTTAAGCCCGTATGTCCCACTCAAGGTTGGCTCAGCTTTTAATGGCATATTTGTTTAGCTAACTGGGAGCCTGTGCAGTAAAGTCAGGACACAGCATGCACTCCTGATGCACTCCTGATCCCTGGAGGGACAACACCAGAGCTGGTTGGACAAACCCCTCGCTCGACTGGACACCTCAGCACTTTGTCCATGCAGGTAAAGCTGTCCATGAGCATTCTGTACTCTTTCCTGTCACAGTTCTCCACAGTGTGAGCTGCAGCTCGGTCGCTGTGGCACAGGGAGCTACACGGGGAGCTCTCCCCAGAGAGCTTCCTGCAGGAGTGAGCCCTGAGCTGTGATGGTGCCGTGGTGCTTTCATTATTCATTAACCAGCGCTCTCCTGCTCGGGAACACATCACCCAGGCTGAGCTATCCCTGCACAGGAGCCTCAGTGCTTACAGCTCGAGCTGGCAGAAGGATTTAAAACCCATCACTTAATACTACTTTAACAGAAGCACAGCTGCAGTCTGTAGGATATAAATGTGGATTTATTTCACTACCTATTACCAATGATTACAAAAATCTCAAAAGAATTACTAATCCAGAGGATTTAAATTGCACCCTGTGAGTGTCAACTGCAGGTTTGCTACTACAGCGCATTAAATTCTTCCAGTAAATGATGTATCAGCTCTAATTGCAGCAACGGCTCAGGCTTTCTGCACAGCACTTCAAAGCCTGGGAACAAGATGCAAGTGGCTCATGTCACATCTGGAAGTGTCACACCTGTCCTGGCTGCCAGGTGGGGGGAGCACTTCAGCTGGGCTTGCTGCTGCTGAGCGTGTGTGCCCGTGCATGCTGTGCTGGCCACCACAGGGGCTGCTGCTCCTCATGGCTCTGGGGCAAGGCCATGCAAAACTCAGGTTTTAAAGGTGCCAGTGCTCATTTTCATGGCAGTTCACACAATGGAACTGAATTACCCCCAGCATTACAGAGCCTCTGTGACTGGATGGTCATTTCATTGAGTCTCTCCATTAAAGTGTGCAATTTACAGGAAATACATTCAGAGTGTGATTTTTATCCTCTCTGTTTATTAAGGAAAAAAAAAATCTAAATATTTTCCCATCCTAATTTCCCATGGAAATAGGCTTCTCAAGGACTGTGCTTGTGTGTCTATGGGTGGGGACACCTCTCAGTCTGTACACCTTGTGTGTCTGTAGGTATTGTATTCTGTGTCCTCCTCACACTGACAGAAGGCAGGGTTAGAGGGGATATTAGGATGAAATTCCTCCCTGTGCTCAGAGAAGCTGTGGCTGCCCCGTCCCTGGAAGTGTCCAAGGCCAGGCTGGATGGGGCAGCCTTGAACAGTGGAAAGTGTGGGTGGAACTGGGTGAGCTTTAAGATCCCTTTGAACCCAAACCATTCCATGATTCTGTGGTTCTCCAGTAAAGGCTAAGGTAATTGGCTGAATTCGACCATAGCTGATATAAAAGTAGAAGTATGGCAGGTGACTGAGCTGCAGTGCAGACAGGGAGATCCTCTGTGTCCCCACCACAGGCTCCTTCTGCACGTTCCCAGAGCATGGACATGGCAACAGCCCAAACAAACACCTCACTCCAGAAACTCTCTTAACAGATGAGGAGTCTGCAAGGCTGAAACGTTCTCAGAGCCTCTTGTGTTGCAGCACTGATGGACTGATGGAGGGCTTTGGGCTCTGTAAAATGGCCCAACATAATTAAACTGCTGAGTGAAATGGGCCCCTCAGCAGAACTTTCACAGAGGCCATGAAGCCATTCCTTCCACAGCAGGGCTGGGATGCACCAGCAGGACAGCACTGATGAGACCTTCATTTCCTGGCTCTTATATTCAGAGCCTTTCACATGAAAGAGTATTAGCAAGACTAGCAGAGGTAAAAAACAGGTTAATCTCCTCTCTGCCCTGTCCTCCCCAAAAAGAAATCTGGATGAGCTTGAGAGTTCCTTTTTGTTTATAGGAATACTGGGATTGGTCATTATTTATCTGGCTAAATTATTATAAAAATTGCAAATGACTGTGAAATTTGGACCTGTATCAAAGCCTAGGAATTCAAAATATTCTCCCCAGTATTTTTTAATGTAGTTCAGACTAGAGATACTGGTTAAGAGTCCTCTCTAGTGTCTGTGATGTTGGATAGCTGATAACAGCAGCAGACTGAATAACTTTTTTCTATAAACTTAACAAGTGCAATGCAATTCAGCAACAGCTTATTAAACTCTCAGTGAGGCTTGAAGTTGCTATCAAGAATTCTGGTGATCTGCATAGTACTGAGGCCTCTTTCAATCCACAAAATATCTGAAATAAAGGCTTGCTAGGAAAAGTAACAATACCTCTTCATAATGACTGACTTTGAAATTCAGATTAGGCAAAAATTAAAACTAGCTGGAGAAGCTTCTGAAGCAGTGGTCAGCTCTAAAAGCTGACAGCAGAGTCTGAGTTGTATTTATAGATAAAAAATAGGAGCAAATCAAAGCTGGGCTTTGGTGGAACATTCATCTCCATGCCCTGGCATGTAAAGCAATGCATAAAGAATAAAAGTCATGGAATGGCAGAGGTGGCAGAAAAGGAAATGCCCCAAATAAACTCAGTAACAATCATTCTGCAAGCATCTGCACGAGGGCTGAGCTCTTTGAAGCTCCTCTCCAAGGCTTCTCAGGAGCTGCCCTGAACAAGTGTGCAGGCAAACGTGGCCCCAGGTCCACACTCACTGAGGCACACAAAACCATCTCCCACCCAGGGGGGATGGGGGAGAGAGATTTTCCTTCTTGCCTGAGTTTGGGGATAGAGTCCCTTATATCCTTGGGAGAGGAAGATGGAATATTTAACTCCTACTGCTGTACCCACTAGAGAGAGAGATAAATAAACTGCAATCACTGCCTAACAGATACTAAAATATTGAGAAGCACTTCTGGATACCTCTTGAGAGTGAGATATAATATCCCACTGAGATGCTGTAAGTATTACTCCTTTCTTTGAATGATTACTGATATGCTTTTAATGATGCTTTTAGAAATACAAATATTAGAATGCATTTTCCCCCCTCATAGTAATAAAAACTTTGTTCTGAATTTTGAGCCAGGACTTCAGGATCTACGTTAATGATAATGAAGAGGTAAATTTTCTGAAGTGTTGTTGATGGTGTAAGAACAATTTTTTCCCACTGGTTGCAGCATACTTAGCTGGCAGTTAGGAACTAAAAAGCATTTCTGACTTGGTTCTGCTCTGTGTTCAAGGGCTTCTCTGGCAAGGTTAGTACTTCCCAAATTCACTAAGTGTTGTTCAGGCAACTATAATTAGAGTGTGATGTACTCAGATAACATGATAAGGGAGGCAACTGTAGTGCCTGAGTGAAGATTAAGCTTTGTTTTGGGGTTTGAGATCTCAAAATACATAGAGGTTTCAACAGCAAATCAAAGTAGTGATCCCAAATTCTGATGACATATTGTCTTCTCCTTGCTCTTTCTCAAATAATCCTTTAATAATTCTGCCTCTACCACTGCAGATTGTTCACTGGGTTTTTATTTTTTGGTGACTGAGAGTGAAGATTAATGCTTGGGATGCAAATGCCTATTAATTTGGTAGCCATGCACTACATGATCCTGTTATTGTCCATACCATCAGCCATGTCTTTGAGAACAGCCATTTCCTGTGGTCAGTGTTTATCAATGACAACATTCCCCAATGCCCTGGAAGTGTTTGCACAAATCAGCACGGGAAAACAGAGTCCTCAAATGTCTGACAATATTTATCAATACAAGGCTGTACTTTTGTTTTCTCCCTGCCCTAATCTTGAAAACTCTACACAACAAGATCTTCCCACCGCATTACTGCTCTGTTTTCATTTAAAATAGGTTTCCAGCACTCGAGCAGCTCTGCAGCACAGGGCCCTGTCTGCGGGGCACTTGTGTCAATAGCGATTTTTGTCTCCCGGTGCTGAGCAGGCGCTGCGGGAGGCGATATCTGATAGCAGCGGAGACTCGGGGCCAGGGGCTGGGCTGCTCTCCCCCTCTCCAGCATCTTCTGCAGAGCCACTGCCCCCTTAACTCTTTCAGCTGCCAAGCCCTCCTTGCAGAAAACACTGGGTTTGGGACCTGGGAGAGAAGCTTGTCTTGTTTCCTCGTGGGACACCAGACATTTGCAGTGTCTTGGGTCAAACCCTCCCGTGCCAACACGCCCCATCCCTGCAGCTCTCCAGCAACTCCGGATACTTGGAGCACACACGTGCACACTATTAATAGTGCGAAGCAGGGATTCTCCCAGAGGAGTTGCACGGCTGGGATGAGGGCTGTGAATGTCTGTAGAAGTGGCCACTTGTCCTCAGCAGTCACCTGCAGGCAGGTCAATACACCCACAGCCATCCAGCCCAAAACCTCACCAACCAGCCCAGTGCTTCCTGGCAAATGTGGGACTTCTAGGATGGTTTGGAGACATGGAATGAAATAATTTTCAGGATCATTTGACAGCAAGTGTTTGTGGAAACAGGGAATACAAGTTGCAAGGAGCTGACTGTATATTAAAAATAAGGCAATTAGTAAGGTACCATGGGAAATT